AATTCTTGGAACAACTGCAGTGTGCGGGGCTCAGTGATCAGGAACGGCTCCAATAACTTTCAAAACCCTCTGCTTCAACCATTCAAAAAAGATTCCTCCTATTTCGATGATGGGATTCGGGAAGTGAAATTTAAGGTGTGTAGATACACATCTGTTAATTTTATGTGGAAAATAGTATGATTTTTTATTCCCGTTAAATCACCTTATATGAATATGATCATGGTATACAATACCGACAAGTTGATAAGTAAGACACATGTGCAACAGTTAGGTATCTATATTCACACTGTAAGACACTCCAACATATAGGCATCTTGGTAAAGAGGACATTTTCGACAAGTTTTCCTGACCACTGGTTGCAAGTGAGATGGGTTAGATTGAAGAGGGAGTCGGAATTAACATACTTAACCGTTGCACATGTTTTACTTGCCACTTCAGAATATCTGACTCTACCTCATCTGAATGACTTCATTATTTACTGGGCGGTGCATCTTACAGACAGAACAGCTCCCATTACGTTCTCTCTGTCTCCAGGCAAATTTGTCAGTATCCTGGAATCTGCTCTGAATTTTCTTCCCTGATGATGTGTTTTCCGGAGAGCAAAGTTTGCAGTGTTATTGAGCTGCGTTACTTCTAATTTGCTAGTTTAATTAAATAAATACTGATATTGATTGCCATTCAATAATTTAAGAATATCTCCATGAATCAGCTTCAAAATATTAACGCTGATGCATTTTTATTAGAAGGCTGAAAAAAAAAAATTGGAATCGTTGGATTCAGAGCAATTATTTAGAGAATGCCTTCTTTGATGCTTCAAATTCTCATTAAATAAAATAGATTCCTCGTCATAATTGGAAGTATTCTTGCATTGAAGTTGAGCTGTGTAGGTGCAAATTTGCCAAGTTTCTACGAAAAACTATGTCATATTGGGCTTTCTTGAAGAACTCAAAACAAATATTGTACACACACATACGCATGCACACACACACACACACACACACACACACACACATAAAATATATATATATATATATATATATATATAATATATATATATATATATATATATATATATATATATATATATATATATATATACGCAAAATAATCATCAGGAGCTATGCAATGTTGCCAGGGAGCAACTAAAGCAGGGAGAGTGAGGGCGTGTCACTGACCGCCGCTTCTCTCAGAATGTGGCCAACGGTCGGTGCCAACCCCGTACCACCACCATCCTCCTACTCCACATATGGGGTAGAATGGTTTCTCAGATGTCAAGTATGAAATTAGAAGATATAATAGCCAGTCCCAAGCTTTTTCTAGCCGCTTGTAACAGGTCATGTGATTTGAGAAACTACTTTTCTCATTGGATACTATATATATCTTGATTGCTATTATTCTGTGTAGCCTTTTTAATTAATAAAAGGAACAGAATGTGTTATTTGTCCATTTAAATGTCCTCCTCTGGAGTACTCAAATGTTCCCAGGGGTATTCAGACATATCTCTAAATATTGTCTACTATCCTTTTCAGTGTAGGTTAATATGCCTTACTTGAGACTCTTCTATACCTTTCCGATAATATTTCTAAGAGCCAAATTTCTACTAATACCCTTTAACCCCTACTTATGTTATCCCATGATTAACAATGAACAAATATGAACGGTTTTAATTTTATTGGCTGATTCATCTGATGAAATAGATGAAATATTTCTCGGGGTTAGGCTCTATGGGCGCCAATTTTGTTGGAGTCTGTGCAGTAACAAAAGACTGTCGTTTCTGGTCGGCTCTAGTGTTAATTTGCTTTCCTCTAAGGAAGTTTCCCCTTTATTTTGGGTTGTGTAAGCTCTAATGAGCCATTTTAATTAATCTAATTTGTTTCTGTGAAGTAACTGCAAAATGTCTATTTCGATCAGAAATAAGTCACAGCGTCGACTTAACTGGGTCATACTAGATACTTTTATATGGCTAACAACATTTGTGTGCCCTCAAGACCATTGTAACAACATGCATACTTCCTTTCTTACTAACATAAATAATGACCTAGGTTTTAAAACGTTGGATTGATTTTTGTCTGTGTATATCCCAATATTCCTGCTATATGGCAGAAGCTAGGAAAATTAGTGTATTAGTTTTCATGTAATAACTTCCGAGTGCCTCATCTCATTAGCTTCAACACTTTATGGTTATAACTTGACAATGCAAATTCTTAGCGGCTTTAAACTTAATATCTATTTTGGAATATCGGTCTTTCTGTGATATGCCTGTTCAATTTGGCTTCAAAGCTGGTGTTTCTTAGCTGAAGATATGAGTTAGTTTGGAACTGTGAATATTTTAGTTTACCATTTTTATTGAAGAAATTGGGTTATTAGTGTCCGCGTGATAAATTGTAAATGCCTCTTCATTTTCATTTCAAATATTCAGTGAACGCTAATGTTTATTAATGTTTATCGTCACAAGAAACCCTGCCGCACTCTGTGCTGTTCCCGTCGCGTTCACTGTCGTACAGGGTTCTGAGATTATGCCGTACGGAGATACTTCTCTCGGATCGCGCACCAACCGAAATACAAAAATATATAATACTTTATGGTAGAAGTATGACTTGATCCTTTATTATAATATCCAGGCTAGGATGAATTCTTAATATATGAAAACTAGTTGTACTGTTTCAATCACTAATTTTCCCCAACGGGAAGCCAATGCCAGGTCACTCTACGGAGATGGAGAAGACCCGGTCCGGGACACACCAGGGAATATGCAAGACGATCACAACATCTTACACCACTTTTAAAGTATATATATATATATATATATATATATCCACCCTGTCATACGCCTTTTCCAAATCCATAAATGCCACAAAGACCTCTTTAGCCTTATCTAAATACTGTTCACTTATATGTTTCACTGTAAACACCTGGTCCACACACCCCCTACCTTTCCTAAAGCCTCCTTGCTCATCTGCTATCCTATTCTCCGTCTTACTCTTAATTCTTTCAATTATAACTCTACCATACACTTTACCAGGTACACTCAACAGACTTATCCCCCTATAATTTTTGCACTCTCTTTTATCCCCTTTGGGCCTTTATACAAAGGAACTATGCATGCTCTCTGCCAATCCCTAGGTACCTTACCCTCTTCCATACATTTATTAAATAATTGCACCAACCACTCCAAAACTATATCCCCACCTGCTTTTAACATTTCTATCTTTATCCCATCAATCCCGGCTGCCTTACCCCCTTCATTTTACCTACTGCCCTCACGAACTTCCCCCACACTCACAACTGGCTCTTCCTCACTCCTACAAGATGTTTATTCCTCCTTGCCCTATACACGAAATCACAGCTTCCCTATCTTCATCAACATTTAACAATTCCTCAAAATATTCCTTCCATCTTCCCAATACCTCTAACTCTCCATTTAATAACTCTCCTCTCCTATTTTTAACTGACAAATCAATTTGTTCTCTAGGCTTTCTTAACTTGTTAATCTCACTCCAAAACTTTTTCTTATTTTCAACAAAATTTGTTGATAACATCTCACCCACTCTCTCATTTGCTCTCTTTTTACATTGCTTCACCACTCTCTTAACCTCTCTCTTTTTCTCCATATACTCTTCCCTCCTTGCATCACTTCTACTTTGTAAAAACTTCTCATATGCTAACTTTTTCTCCCTTACTACTCTCTTTACATCATCATTCCACCAATCGCTCCTCTTCCCTCCTGCACCCACTTTCCTGTAACCACAAACTTCTGTGGCAATGTGGCAGATGTTGCAAGTGTATGGTCTAGGAGGTAGGTTACTGAAAGCAGTGAAGAGTTTTTACGAGGATAGTGAGGCTCAAGTTAGAGTATGTAGGAAAGAGGGTAATTTTTTCCCAGTAAAAGTAGGCCTTATACAAGGATGTTGTGATGTCAACCGTGGTTGTTTAATATATTTATGATGGGGTTGTAAGAGAAGTAAATGCGAGGGTCTTGGCAAGAGGCGTGGGTTAAAAGATAAAGAATCACACACAAAGTGGGAAGTACAAAGCTGCTCTTTGCTGATGACACTGTCTTTGAGAATTCCAGAGATGAATTCAGATTGTGAAAATATTTGGTACGTTTGCAAATAAAAAATTAAAGGAATACAGCAAGGATAGGTTATGAGGATAAACACGTCTGGGACACAGATTGAATATCAAGACGGAAGCACTTGAAGGCATTTTAATATATATTTATATTAGATGGTCTATAATAATAAGGTAGTGGTTGGTTGTAGACAGCAACCGCCCGGAGGTACTACCGAGCCTGCAAGTGAGTGTAATAACGAAAGCCTGTAATTGTTTTACATGATGGTAGGATTGCTGGTGTCCTTTTTTCGTGTCATGAACATGCAAGATTCAGGTACGTCTTTGCTACTTTACTTACACTTAGGTCACATTACTATACATGTACAAGCACATATAGCTCACCCCCTGGGGTTTTCGTTCTATTTTCTTTCTAGTTCTTATTCATTGTTTATTTCCATCTTATCTCCATGGGAAGTGGAACAGAATTCTTACGTCCGTAAGCCATGCGTGTTGTAAGGGCGACAAAATGCCGGAGCAGGGGGTGCTAGTAACCTCTTCTCCTTGATATGTTGTGATGTAAAAGGAGAAACTTTCGTTTTTCCTTTTGGGCCACCCGCCTCGTGGGATAACGGCTGGTGTTGAAAGAAAGAAAGATATATACTATATAATATATATATATATATATATATATATAATATGATCAATAGGAAGCGTTAGCACAGGGGTTATTCAGTGTCTGGTGATTGTTATAATCATAACTAAGCGCTAAACACATCAATGCCTGAGGAATAGGACTTAATTAGATCTCCTAACTTGAGGAGAGTAGTTTCATTTTATTGGCACTAGATCCCGTTACAAACATCAAGTCGTACCTTCACCCCACTTTAAAGTGTACCACTTCCATAACCGCTGTACAGCCATACCTCTATCATTATCGTCTTTTTCAGCTTGACCTGCAGCTTCAGTCCGAGGACGGCGGCGATCTTAGCGACTTCATCAAAAACGGGGAGTGGGACCTTATCGGTGAGTCGCTGGTCTGGTGGGCGTGACTGAGGGCGTGGCTGTGAACTCTCCTGAGGGCGTGACTGTGAACTTTTCCGTGAGCGTGGCTGTGGCAATGATTGCGATCTTAATTAACTTTTATGTAGAAGATTCCTGTTTCATATGATTAAATTTATCATTACGCATATATATAATATATATATATATATATATATATATATATATATATATATATATATATATATATATATAATATAATATAATTTCTTTCAGTGAGTGAATGTTAATAATTAGCAAACGATAAGGATAAAGATTAAGAGAACAATGCTGTGGGGAACGTATGTGAAAACATAATAGAAAGATTATTTGAAAGTTTTCAATAAGGGACACAACTCAATAGCAGGTATGTTTCATGATTACCTATAACAAAAAACAGTACTGTGGCAATGCAAAAAAGTACATAAAAATTTCCAGTTCAGTCGGGCTACCCCCGCATATTCTTCACCCGTCAATATACCAGGGATCATATTCTTAACCGACTAACTCCTAACAGAACAGCCGTCCATCATGGAAGAATGAATATTCCAATTTTAAGAACGTTTCCTCGGAAGTCAGTCGATGTCCCAGAAATCGGAAATAACTGATTATATTTCTTTCCTCAGGCAATTGGTGATCAGAAGCTTCAGGCACAGGAAAGAATGTGAATATGCATACAGACATACATTATATATATATATATATATATATATATATATGTGTGTGTGTGTGTGTGTGTGTGGTGTGTGTGTGTGTGTGTGTGTGTGTGTGTGTGTGTGTGTGTGTGTGTGTGTGTGTGTGTGTGTGTGTGTGTGTGGTGGTGTGTGTGTGTGTGTGTGTGTCCTAGTAAATCGTAAGGGGACGAGACGGATATCGAGAAAAGACGAAATATAATTTAAAGATAGAGAAATAGAGAAGAAAGATTATCGAACGAATGCTATAAATGCAGGAAGTCTGGTGATGGTTGGTTACATTTGCTGGTAAAAGAGACTAGATGATGATCGTCCTTTGATATCATGAAGCAATTTCCGGCAGTTGTGTAAGGATGGATGGAAGGCTTTTTAATGATAGACGATGAACGATTATGAAGAACTATATTCTGAACTTCAAAGCTAAGCAACCCAGAATCCTGCATTATGAAGGTGGTTCTCTTATTTGCTTGATAGTAGCGGCTGCTAAACTATACAAGTCAAAAGTCCTTTAGCGTTCTGAGTTCGACCACTCTAGTGGATGATCTGCACTCCATTCTAACTTCAACACATGTCTGCAAAGCAAGTTATGTCGAGTCCCAACTAATCTTAATTTAACCTATGATTTCAGCCTTGAACACTGTCATGTAATGCTTTGTTATATTTTTGGCATGTATAATTTTAATGTTTTCAAAGCTTCTCATCTAGACAGCGAAACAAGAGCAATTATTATCCCAAATGCCAGCAGTTTACTACAGTACTTCCTGTCTGGGGTCATTACTTCACGGGCAATCATTCAGCACTGCTCTTGCAAGCCACTTTTTTACAACAGAGAGATACTCAGGAAAAGAAGTCCAGTGACCAAAATAAAGTTTCTCTTGCAAAAATGCTCCAGCGTCATCCTCTATCTGAGAGAAATTTACATATAGCACATGTATAGCATATGTATAGCAAATGATATATGTATATTTCTTTGTATCTAATGAATCATTTGCCCTTAGAATCTACTACTGCAAAACCGTGAAATTATTTCAGAGAATAACAAATAACTAATAGATAACAACTATCTTTGTAATTGAGTAGAAGCTTTCAATTTTAGGTAAAGAGTGAGAGAGAGAGAGAGAGAGAGAGAGAGAGGAGAGAGAGAGAGAGAGAGAGAGAGAGAGAGAGAGAGAGAGAGAGACAGACAGACAGACAGACAGAGAGAGACACAGAGACAGAGACAGAGAGATGGGAATTCAGCGTAGGAAAGGGAGAGAGTTACGAAGGGATAAGGAAATGTGAAGAGTGGAAAAGGGAACTGTTGATAAATATTAGAGAGAAAAATAGATTGAACCCGAATTCGTAATTAGGATAGTACAATTATGTAAACACACAAGTAACAAACTAATGGAAATAAGAACATACATACAAACATACATACACACACTCACACCACACACAACACACACACACACACACACACAGAGCCTCTAAAGTTAGACTCTGAAGTGTCCCTATTCGCAGATGATGTGAATCTGATGAGGAGAATTAAATCGGATGAGGATCAGGCAGGACTACAAAGAGACCTGGACAGACTGGACATGTGGTCCAGAAACTGGCTTCTCGAATTCAACCCTGCCAAATACAAAGTCATGAAGATTGGGGAAGAGCAAAGAAGACCGCAAACAGAGTATAGGCTAGGTGGACAAAGACTACAGACCTCACTCAAGGAGAAAGATCGTGGGGTGACCATAACACTGAGCACGTCTCCGGAGGCACACATCAACCAGATAACTGCTGCAGCACATGGGCGCCTGGCAAACCTGAGAATACCGTTCCGATACCTTAATAAGGAATCGTTTAAGACACTGTACACTGTGTACGTTAGGCCCATACTGGAGTATGCAGCACCAGTTTGGAACCCACACCTGGTCAAGCACGTCAAGAAGTTAGAGAAAGTACAAAGGTTTGCAACAAGGCTAGTTCCAGACCTCAGGGGAATGTCCTACGATGAAAGGTTGAAGGAAATCGGACTGACGACACTGGAGGACAGGAGGGTCAGGGGAGACATGATAACGACATACAAGATACTGCGGGGAATAGATAAGGTGGACAGAGACAGGATGTTTCAGAGAGAGGACACAGAAACAAGGGGTCACAATTGAAAGCTGAAGACTCAGACGAGTCACAGGGATGTTAGGAAGTATTTCTTCAGTCATAGAGTCATCAGGAAGTGGAATAGCCTAGCAAGTGACATAGTGGAGGCAGGAACCATACACAGCTTTAAGACGAGGTATGACAATGCTCAGGGAGCAGAGAGAGGACCTAGTAGCGATCAGTGAAGAGGCGGGGCCAGGAGCTGAGTCTCGACCCTTGCAACTACAATTAGGTGAGTACACACACACACATACACTCACACAGGATCAAGGAATACCTGACAGGAAGACATCAGGGAGTTAGGTTACGTAACGAGGTGTCAGAGTGGGCGCCTGTGACGAGCGGAATTCCACAGGGGTCAGTCCAAGGACCTGTGCTGTTTCTGGTGTATGTGAATGACATAACGGAAGGAATAGACTCAGAAGTGTCCCTATCTGCAGACGATGTGAAGTTAATGAGGAGAATTCAATCGCAGGAGGACCAGCCAGGACTACAAAAGGATCCGAACAGGTTGTAGGCCTGGTCCAGAAACTGTCTCCTGGAGTTCAACCCCAGTAAGTGCAAAGTCATGAAGATTGGGGAAAAACAGAAGATGGAGTACAGTCTAGGGGCCCAGATACTACAAACCTCACTCAAGGAAAAGGATCATGGGGTGATTATAATACCGGGCACATCTCCTGAGGTGCACATCAACCAAATAACTGCTGCAGCATATGGGCTCCTAGCAAAGCTATAAATAGCATTCCGACATCTCGGTAAGGAATCGTTCAAGATCCTGTACACCGTGTACGTCAGGCCCACACTGGAGTATGCAGCACCAGTTTGGAACCCTCACGTGGCCAAACTAGACCTGACGTCACTGGAGGACAGAAGAGATAGGGAAGATATGATAACGACATACAAAATACTGAGAAGAATCGACAAGGTGGACAGAGACATGATGTTCCAGAGATGGGACACAGCAAGAAGGGGTCAGAATTGGAAGTTGAAGACTCAGATGAGTCACAGGGGTGTTAGGAAGTATTTCTTCAGTCACAGAGTTGTCAGGAAGTGGAACAATCTGGAAAGTGATGTAATGGAAGCACGTACCATACACAGCTTTAAGAAGAAATATGATAAAGTTCATGGAGCAGGTAGAGTGACCTAGTAGGGACCAGTGAAGAGGCGCAGCCAGGAGCTGTGACTCGTCCCCTGCAGCCACAACTAGGTAAGTACACACACACAGAGGTCAATTGTCTATCGAGAAGTGCCTTTGACAACTAGTAACTACTACTACTACTACAAGCATACACAGACTAGTAGAGTTCCTTTATTTCCTGCTACTATTACTACCTCTACTACTGCTGCATCTAATACTATCATTACTACTAATACTTCTAATAGTACTACTACTATCACCACAAGCTTCTTCCTTCGTCAGTTTAGCTTATAGTGTCTTCTGACCTTCCCTTATTCTCGCTTCACTTGTAACGGACCGAAACGTCGTCATAAGCTCCTCTCCTAAAATGCGTTTTTTTTTTATAAATAATATGATTGGAACAGGAGGCATAGAGTGTACGGACAACTGTAACACAAGGCGCTCTGCAAGGATCTGTATTGCGACCATTACTATTTATTATAATAATGGTCCCAATACATAAGAGAGGAAGTGTTAGGACCAATACTTCCTCTGCTATATACAAACATGTCAGAGAAGAAAGAATCCTATGTATCTCTTGCAGAAAATGTGAAATTACTGTGAAGAATAAATACCCAAACATCTTGGTCCAACTGTAGTAATGGTGACACAGAAGAAACCGGTCCTCAACCCGAGCAATTCCAAGATGATATTAGTTGAGGAATGATAAGGAATAATGAAAACAGTGCAAGCTCAGGGGTCAACGCATGTAACTTACGTTTAGCGAGAAATATCTTGGGCTGAATATAGTACTAAGTATATCGAAAGTGATGCACGTCAAGTGCATAAGTTACGAAGCATATATGTGGCTGAAGAAAAGTTAACGAATTAACTTTGATAAATTAATAGAATATTGGGTCTAGGAAGGATGTGATAACGACTCACAAACACGTTAAAGAGCTCGACGAAAGAGTGGAATGTGAATTGTTTTAGAGGCGAGAAAGGGGAAAAAGAGTGCACATATTGACAGTGAAAACGGA